TAAAGGGGAGAACCCCGTGGGGTAAATACATGTCCCCATCCTGCAGATGCTGGTCCAGGAAAGTCTTCAGCATCATCTTCAGGGTCCCATTGAACCTCTCCACCAGCCCCCGAAGGGAATGTTTCCCTGCAGCCCCCCCTTAAGGGTTCCTCGGCGCTGCGGCCAGCAAGGCCCTTCAGCTTGTCTAAGGAGGGATCGTTCTGCAGCTCTGTCTGAAATTCAGCTGCAACGCACAGGGGAAACCGAGGCACACACAATATTTATACCAAACATTAAGAAAATCCCCCCATGGTGACACGGGGTCACCCTCTCTGCCCCCCAGGTGACACCGGCGCTGGGTGTGGTGGCTGTGGTGCTGCTGGTCACGGTGCTGCGGGAGCCACCGCGGGGGGCCGTGGAGCGTCATTCTGACTCCCCCCTGCGCTACACCTCCTGGGCCGCCGACGTCCGGGCACTGAGCCGCAAGTGAGTGGGGCGGTGCAGCGGGGCCGGTGATGAGAGAACTGTGGGTGCTTGGCAGGGGCCAGGGATGGGAGGAGCAGAAAGTGCGGGGGTGTCAGACAAAGAAGGGGTCAGGAGAAGGTGGGGCTGGGAGGAGCAGGGTATAGGGCTGGGAGGGGTGGAGATGGGGAGGGGTGAGAGGCACTGGGGTCAGTGTGCAGCTGTGAGGAGTGGGGCTGAGCTGGGGATTGGCAGGGGACTGGGAGGAGTGGGGCGGGGCCAGGGGGCTGGGAGGGGTGGGACTGTGGGTCAGTGAAGGGCTAGGGGAGCAGGATGGGATCGGGGCGGGTGGGGGCGGGGCTGGGGATCAGTGGGGGGGCTGGGAGGAGCAGGATGGGATCGGTGCTCGGGGGGGGCTCTCACCTCTCCCCCCCCCGGCAGCCGCAGCTTCGTGCTGTCGTCGCTGGGCTTCACGGCGGTGGCGTTCGTGACGGGGTCGCTGGCGCTGTGGGCCCCGGCGTTTCTGTACCGCTCCTGCCTGGCCACGGGGCAGTGCCGGCCCTGCCCCGACGGGGACACCTGCAGCTCCCAGCAGAGGTGAGCGCCGCTGGGGGGCTCGGCCCTGAGCTCCACTCTGGAAAAGGGAGTCACCCAGTGACCCCTGAACTCTGACCCCCAATGTCGGGGCTGTTCTCTCCCCAGTAACCCCTGAACTCTGACCCCTGGTGTCAGTCGTTCCCTCCACAGTGACCTCTGAACTCTGACCCCCAATGCTGGGGCCGTTCCCTCCCCTGTGACCCCTGAACTCTGAACCCTGGTATCAGAGCCGTTATCTCCCCCAATGACCTTTGAACTCTGACCCCCTGGTGTCAGGGCCGTTCCCTCCCTGGTGACCCCCAAAGTCTGACCCCTGGTGGCAGGGCTGTTCTCTCCCCAGTAACCTCTGAACTCTGACCCCCTGGAATTGGGGCCGTTCTCTCCCGCAATGACCCCTGAACTCTGACCCCCTGGTGTCAGGCCCGTTCCCTCCCCAATGACCCCTGAACTCTGACCCCCTGGTGTCAGGCCCATTCCCTCCCCAATGACCCCT